AAAATTACCTCGTCTCGCGAATTTCGAGATTTTCGTACCTATTTAGGGTAGCGAGAATTATGTTTCCCTCAATATGATAAATACATTTTAAATTGGGGAGGGAGCAGGAGGGGTTAACATGGATGGGACTTCCATTGTATACTATATTGATCAGGTCTTTGATGGTAGTTTGGTTAACCCACAGAGTACTAAGCCTGAGGTAATGAGTCTATGAAAAATGTGTGTTTTTTTGTATAGTGCCTAACCAATTACAAGTAACTGAACGATGTCATTACCCCAGTCATGGAATTCGATTAGGATCCTGCAATTAACTGCACACTCTTCACTCCATAGGGAGCATGCCAGCCAGTTGTCTCCTAATGCAGCCACTCATGCTAAAATACAGTTACAGTGACATTTGTATCCTACTGGGAACCCATTTAACACCTGGGTGGAGAGAAGCATTGTAGATAAAATGCCTTGATTAAGGACAATAGTGCTAAAACCCGTAAATCAAATTGAATCCATCAGGTTAAAGCATGGATCTAGCTCCAGCAACAAAGTTCAGATGGGAAAGTTTTTTGGGGAATGACTGATCATCAGCCCATTTTAAGCTGAGTCATGACAGAATTTTGAAACCCACCAGAGATGCATAACATGTCCATCACTGTCCCTTTCTCTCATATCAAGTGGCATGATTCATCTCACACTGTCACACTCTATAAATCATCCCCTATTCAAATACTGATTGATACAGATTATCCCAAGTCATGGGTTCGACTCAATAAAATGAGGGTGGGAGGGAGGAAGGGAGGGTAGGGGAGAAATGCACAACGTCGTTAGATTTGTAGGTATTGTTCTGGGATCTCTTGCATATAAGCTTGCCTTTACATGCAACTTAAATTAATGAAACTGAAGTGCTAATATGCATTCCTGACTAGTTGATAATCAATTTAGATTTGGTCTTAGTTTTTATATTCATTTTTGTTTAAGTGTCTTTCTGGTAAAAAAAAATGAAGAAAACATATATTAAATCCATTGTTACATGTTTCAAATACAAAAAAAAAGAAAGAAATGTACGCTTTAAAAGAACATTGAGATTCACAGTTGTATTATACTGTTACCTATATTCACCTAAATATGATTTACATGCAATGTCCTTCTGCCCTCCAACAGAGGCACTGTAATTTAATTCAATAAAGATAGATTATCTATGATAATACTGGCTAATTTATTTAAATAGCATTGTACAGTACTAGAAAGAGACAACCGAAGGGCAGTGTCAGTTTTAGGCAATCATGAGAGGAAATATTAGTCACTGATTGCGCTTAGTGGACACCACGTATTAAAACGTCAGTGGGTGTGTCTCTCGTATCTGCCCTCTTTATGGTCTACGTAAACCTCGGTGACCACAGCTCACTCCTCTATAGAGAGAGTCTCCTCTTTTAAATAATATTTTCGAAGAAAGGAATTTTATTCATAATGCTATTGGAATTAAGAACAATAAATTACTGAAGACCGCCTTTTCAAAGCCATAAGGGTATATAATTGTGTTAAAGTATATGAGTTAACATCCTTGTGATTTACAGCAGTTGATATACCTACATGGAGTTGTTAGATCATTTGACAGGAGATGACAAGATCATAAGTTCAAACCCTAGCATTTCTCTAGATGTCCCAGCACAAGGCATTTAATCTACAGTGCTTCTTTCTACCCAGGTGTCTGAATGTGTATGTATAGAAATGACACATAGCATAACTTCTTTTAAAGGAGAGACATTTTAATATGAATAGTAGTAGAGATGCACCTTATACAGCCCTTCTGATTATACATTCCATTTGACCATGAGGAGATGGATTTTTTTTAAAACGAAGTAACTACGGACATACCATTGAAATGTACCATTTAGTACAAATACCACTTCAATATGCAACACCTTATTTCTGCAGGTCATATGTATTGAATTTCCTTAGAGTAATTTTATAAGGGAAATGTTACCAACCCTGAATGGTCTACATGTATTAGTTTTGTTGACAGTCCAAGCTAATGGATTCCATGAACACCTAACCTCTATGGAAAAGAAAACAATAAGCATAAAGCAGTTTTCATAACCCTGTCATGTCTGGTTTACAATATCTTTCTAAGAATGACATCTATACAAAAAAAAAATCTTTAGGGATAACATCTTGCATCACTTTTTGTGTCTGAGAGGACTGGAGCAAACTCAAGAAAGACACCTCGCCTCCCAATTGAATGTAACCTTGTAGATGCTGCGAGATGTGGGACTAATTACCAGACTTCCTAAACATGTCAGGAGGTATTTGGTGGTAGCATCTTGGAGGAGGCAGGTATGCTTTGATGTTGAGCATAAACTCCTTGGGGATCTCCCCAGGAAGGCATGTTGTCCTTGCTTTAACATCACCTCAGTGGGCAGATCTTACGAGCATTGAGGGTTGAGAGTGAATCATCTTTACAAAGAGGCGTTAATAATACATCCATGAGGGCAATTAACGTGTGTCATCTTCATCCAGTTTGTACTTTGGACCTTGGTGTGGAGAAAAATGATACTATCTGGCCTGTATAGGTAGATGTGTACATATACTCATTTGTAGTGTCTGCATCTATTTTATAAGCCTTTGAACTAGCAGCTGACCTAATTCTCATGTTAATTAACCAAGTGCCTGGGAGAAGGGTAGCAGTAGAGGAATTATGGGTTGTAACCCATAAAATGTGTTGCAAATACTCTAGTTGTTAAACCTTTCTGCTACACACTCATCATAGTTTTATGCTTGAAATTAGATACATTATTGAATTACAGAAGAACATAACAGTAGCAAATTAGCCTGATCTTTCGTTTTATTTAAATAGTGAAATTGTTGAAGCTGGATAAGACTGTAAGATTATCTTAATTGATGAGCCACACAATCACCATTTAACAGCATTTTTGTTGCCTTTACAAACAGAAAGGGGAGAGAGAAGGGGTAGTGACAAGGCAGAGGGGGACAAAAGATTAGGGTAGATAGAGGTAGAGAGGAAAATAAATTAAGAGGGAGATGGAAAGAGAGAGAGAGAGAGAGAGAGAGAAGGGGGAGGGGGAGGGGAGAGAAAAAAATGGAGATAATGAAAGATAGAAAGAAAATGAAAGGAGAAAATGAAAGAAAGAATACAAATGAAGGAGAGAGAGAGAGTATTCCCTTTGTGTGCTTTTATCCATCATCAAAGTATCCAGGTTTCTGGTTCAGGAACCTAATTAATACAAAGCCGTCCATGGCTCACCTGTACCTTGGAGGACAATAGATGTGACAAATGATACCTGATCCTTCCAATGGAGCTCCCTTTATCTGTCATCACCCTCAGGAAGTCCACAGATTACACCTCTGACAAGATTCACCCCAAAATCAGGTTTTTTTTCGCTGTGGTGTTTCATGTGACTGAATGGACTGGGGATTTGGAAAGAGATACATGTAACGGAAGAGAGGTGATGAAAGTTTTAAAATAGTGGTACCAAAAGTGAAACAGGAGAGTGAGAATCGGTGTAGGATTATAATTCTCTTGGCTTATCTATACATTTGTGCAATTTTGGTCATGGTCAAGATCGCTCATGTTTATGTATAAAGATCAGTATAGTTTAACCCCCTTCTCTGACTATGTTCGACAGTTTGCCCAGAAATACAGTTTTACACTGGTAATGTGCATATTGAGATTGAGACACAAATTGAAGTTAGATATCTCAATCTTAATGTTTTCAGAGTGTCGAGGAAAGCGAGGGATCATCAATTAAACGTGTTCAGTTCCGTATTTTCATTTAGAGATTAATACTTACTGCTGGCTATCATCTCTACACTGTCCACGTCAGATAAATATTATGATCGCTTTCTTATTAAGAGCCATACTATCTACTCAAGATCAGTAATATCTACTCAAGATCAGTACTATCTACTCGAGATCAATACTATCTACTCAAGATCAGTAATATCTACTCGGCATCAATACTATCTACTCGAGATCAGTGCTATCTACTCGAGATCAGTGCTATCTCCTCGAGATCAGTGCTATCTACTCGAGATCAGTGCTATCTACTCGAGATCAATACAATCTACTCAAGATCAATACTATCTACTCAAGATCTGAACTATCTACTCAAGATCTGTAGTTTTTACCTAAGATTAATATTATATACTCAAGATCATTACTATCTACTTGAGATTATTACTATCTACTCAAGATCATTACTATCTACTCGAGATCAGTAATATCTACTCAAGACCAGTGCTATCTACTCGAGACCAGTGCTATCTACTCAAGACCAATACTATCTACTCAAGATCATTGCTATCTACTCAAGATCAGTGCTATTTACTCAAGATCATTACTATCTACTCGAGATCAGTACTATCTACTTGAGATCATTACTATCTACTCGAGATCAGTGCTATCTACTCAAGATCAGTACTATCTACAAGATCAGTGTTATCTACTCGAGATCAGAACTATCTACTCAAGACCAATACTATCTACTCGAGATCAGTACTATCTACAAGATCAGTGCTATCTACTCGAGATCAGTACTATCTACTCAAGACCAATACTATCTACTCGAGATCAGTACTATCTACAAGATCAGTGCTATCTACTCAAGATCAGTACTATCTACAAGGCCAGTGCTATCTACTCGAGATCAGTACTATCTACTCAAGATCAAAACTATTTACTCGAGATCAGTACTATCTACTCAAGATCACTATTATCTACTCAAGATCACTACTATCTACTCAAGATCAATGCTATCTAAATTTATACTTCAATGTGTACTTGTGACAATAAGTGACATCAAATGTGTCATTTCACTTCATATTTGGTTTGATCAGATATAAACTAAAATCTGAGATGTGGTTGGTAATGTATGGCACAAAGTAGGTTTGTCTTGCCTTAATACATGGGTTTGTTAATGAGCCTCTTCCATGTTTCTCATAAGAGTTTCAGCACATAACATAACGTATTATATTAGCATTGCAAGATAGTATATTTACAAGAATCATCTTTCTCTTTCATTGTTCTTGCAGATTTTGAGTCCAAACAGAATTTTGTAGTGGATGGGATTGTCTATCCTGTGGTGTTAGGGGGCAGCACATCATCATGGCGTCCATCCCAGGCATTCACCAATCAAGTGCTAAAGATACTACTCCAAGAAGTGATGGGCTACAGCAATGTAACCATAGCAATGGATGATACAAAAGTCATCTCAACATCCCAGTCGGTCTCACAGATCACGGGCTGCTTTAATGCCATGTAAGTTGTAAATATAAAATATCTTGAAAACCCGTACTCCATAATTTTCTTTTATATCGTGCCTTGAGTCTTTTGATACTCAAGATTCATTTTCTCTATGTTTTCCTCTTTATTGTTCGTTTTGCATCAATCATGTAAAATTACTTTTTTGTTTGCAAGAGTTCTTTCTGCATCATCTATTATATTATATACTCTGTAGTGTTTTCACCACATTTATTTTGGAGATTTTCAAGGCTAAATTGGTCTCTGCTTCTCGCTGTTGTTTTGCTGATAGAATCACTGTGCCATGGTAAAAACTATTTAACTTCAGGAACTGATATTTTGAATTTCAAGAAGAGAGATACATTCTTCTTTAGTTGAAACATACTGTAGATCACTTTTAGAGTGGGGCAGTTTACACCGCCTCAAGCATGAACTGGATGACAGACAGGTGAAATGTTTGCTCTATTGAAGGACCTGTTGGGTAAACATGAATGTGTTATACCAGCACCGTATAATGCTTCCATAATGATTAATTACAGCATGGGCTGTACTACTACTACTCATGTTATCATGATGTTGTGGATTCCAAGGTCCCAAGTATTCAAACAGCTGGTCTCTTTCTCACGCCTCCAGAAACATGCTCTATATTTTCAAAGGTTTTATTAACCACAGTTGTCACTCACACAAGGGAATTTACAGCACCTTACTTAAATCTTAATTGCTTGCATGAACTTCTCTAGGCCTGTCTTCATCAGCTTGAGTTTGCCAAATAACCCACTTTTTTAATTCAGGAAAATAGCCCCAAAGTTACAAATCATGTTTTCACCAGCTCGAAACTTGAGCTCAAAACTCAAAACTCAAAACTCAAGACTCAAGACTCAAAACTCAAGACTCAAGCTCCAGAAATTAGGTCAAGATATTTTACTCAGTGTTCATGCATAGTGCGAATCTTCGGGCTTGTGAAGACGGACCGGACAAATAGCGGGCTACACGTGTATTTTGCAAACTAGCCCAAGATATCTTGGAAAGATTTCTCGAGCAAATAGCCCGCTATTTGCATCTTCACCTGCCAAATAGCTTGCTATTTCGTGATCGGGCTAATTTCCAGGATCAGAAATAGCGGGCTATTTGGCAAACTAGAGCTGATGAAGGCAGGCCTTAAGGGTTATTCCCTACTAAACAATGGGTTGTTGGCATTTATTCAGAATCCAATTCATTATTTCATACGTTTTAAGTAAGGTCCTGTGGTTGCTTTACAAATTTTATCAAAACTAATCCTGCTTCTATGAACTATTCCTTACTAGTCCTTTGGGTTGTTGGTATTTATCTAGAATCCAATTCATTGATTTCCGCTTGGACTTGATGTTACAGACTGAAGCTGCTGGAGTTCGTCCCCTCTCTGCACGAGTAGCTTTCCTTTCCCTCTCTTGTGTGATTGTGAAGAACATGACACTTGATTTCCACCTCTTCCTCTGAGCCGTCCGAACTACTCATGCTGTTTATACGCTTGAGTCACACAAAAAGACCTCCTAAAGCTAAAGTGAGAAGCACATTGAAAGTATTATCATCGCTTCTAATTACAGTCATCTATATTTAATATATCTGTATTTTGCATGTGCAGTATATGGCAACTAAATAAGGAACTCAAATTCTGTCTGAACTGCTCATGCTGTTCAGATGCAAGATTCACATAAAAAGGATTCCAAAAGTTAATGTGTGCAGCTCATCAAAAGTATTAGCATCAGTTGTTATTGCAGTTGTCTATTGTAACATTTTTGTGTTCCCCCTATGACAGTGGCAATAAATAAGCCCACATTTTAAGCCATCCAAACTCCTCATGCTGTTTAGACACTTGGGTCTTGGAGAAATACAGCTCAAAGTTAAAGTGAGAACCCCATAAAAACAGTATTATGATTGTGGCTCATTGCAGGAGTCTCCTTTTTAATATTGTGTGTTTCCCTATAATAGTGGCAATTTATTTAAAAAACTCAAAAATCTGAGCAGTCTGAATTGATCATACTCTTTAGATGCTTGAGTCACAGAAAAAGATCTCCTAAAGCATAAGTGAGAAGCCTATCAAAAGTAATACTATCATTGCTTCAAATTGTAGTTACCCTAATATAAAAGTCAGTTGTAGAGAACTCCTAATGCTTTGAAGATACATGAGTCAGGGTCTTTGAAAAATCATTAAGTTCTAGTGTGATGTTTTATGAAAAGTAGTATCGATTATTGCACTATATTGTAGTTGTCTATTTTGAACAATCTTTTTTTTTTGCATTTCCATTGTGCTGGTATAATTAAAGAAAAGAGTTTAACTTGTGAACCACAGAACTCCTCCTGCTGTTATGTAGCTTGAGTCATGGAGAAAAGACATCACCTTTCAGAAGCAGTATTATCATCACACCTATATTCACTTGTCTATATATAACATTCTCTGTGTTTCCCCTGTGACAGCGGCAATTAAAAAGAGCTCAAATTCTGCATCGGACAACTCCTCATGCTGTTCAGACTTGTGAGTCACAAGCATCTGTGAGAAATCCTCTTGAAGTTTAAGTGAGATGTTTCCCTCTTGAAAGCTGCCTCATTTTGTTGCATCTTAACCCAGCTGACTACTGAGTTATCTCATTCCCATAGACTTAATACAGAAACAACCGGTTCCTGTAGGCAATGGGTTAATGCAGTTGTAAAAATATAACACTCTTTGCATTCCCCCTTGATGCCAGGAAGCAGCTCTTAAAAAGCTCAAATTTGAAAGAAGAATAGATGCTTTTTCAGTTGTTTGGTCAGACTAAATTGCCAACTCCGCAGCAATTGCATGGTGTTACCTTTTTGTGCAAACCTATTAGTTTTTAAGTTAAGACATTGTTGTATTTGCAGAGATAGATAGAAGTGGTAAGTTCAAGAGAGGACATTTCTTTATCAGATGATTATATTATCACCTAAATGTTTACAGCAGTGTTCAAGATAGTATAATAAAGTGGAAAGAAAAGGCACACTCAGAGAAGCAAATGTTGTTACCATTCACATGTTGGCACGTATGATGCATATTTATCGGTGTCGTGGCAACATCTCACATATCCATACTTTTATTCAATGCACAGTGAAGAAAGTACTTTTGAAAGATGTCCCAAGAATGTCTTGGGTCTAAAAACTGCACCACAAAGTAGCAAATTTGAAGGCATTCTATTAGTAGGGCAACATGGCTTTGGTTTATTTATAGATTTTGGCACTACTTCAGATTTTTAACATTCTCAAATTTTTACATTCATAAATTCTCTCACACACTTGCCCACACATTATATCTTTCTCAAATTGAGCATGTAGCTTGATGTGAAATTATATCGCAACTGTGTTGGATGCAAGGTCGATCTTGCAATACCTCTTGCTCAGCAATAATCCCAATTCTTACACCACCAACGAAGAAGAGGAAGAAGGAGAAATTAGCGAGCTACTCTCAGTCTAATGAGTCACATCCCATTCATGTTTGAAGAAGTTTGGAGGCATGATACCTGATCGCTTTTAAACTGATCCTCGATCCACATCAGTAAGTCATTCCTTCACCTGTTTATATCCATCTTATCTGGTTTGATAATGATCACTTATTGATTGCTGATGCCTTTTGTGGTCGAGTAGTAGAGAAGGTACTAATTAGTCTAACGTAGAGGCCTTAGGGCTTGGCTTCATTCAGCAGTACCTTCTGAGAAAGAAGATGGGACTTGTGGTAGGTGAGAGGAGCTCCGTCAGCTGTGCACTTCCTCTTTCACGGTGAAATGGTCTAGTGACGTACTAGGTGGATTCGATGGAAGATGTTCCTTCTGACTCATTGAAGTCTACTAGAGGGTAGTTCCTCAGACTGATTGCTCTCCTTTCAGGTAGCTAGCTAGAAGTCAAGTGTTTCAAATCAGTCGCTTCCTACAAGCTCCTAGTCTTAAATAGCTCCATATTTCCCCTTGTTTGTTTGTTTGTAATCAATCTTCAGCTGATCTTGGCCCTGTTTCATAGAACTTGTTATCAATGACGAGTGTCACTTTTCTATAACAAATTAGTTCAGATTCAGATTCAGATTAATTTTATTGGTCCATTTGGAAGTTCTCAGCCAATCAGATGCCAAAATTCAAGTAGCTCATAACAGTTATTGTAACTTGTCATTGATAACAAGTTTTATTAAACTGGGCCATGGACCTGGTGCAATGTGGTTGTATGGCTGGAGTGAGGATTCTTGTTAGCCCTTTAGTTAGTTCCATGATATTTTCATAAAACTTTTTATTTGGGATATGGGAGTTAAAATTTTCTCAAATCAGTTGCGTCCTACAAGTTACTAGTCTTAAACATTTCCATGATTCAATCTTCAGCTGATCTGGATCTGGTGCAATGTGGTAGTAAGACTTGAGTGATGATAATTGTAAACCCTTTACCGGTAGTTACTGTCATGATATATTCATGCAACTTTTTTTATTTGGATATGGGAGTTAAAATTTTCTCAAATCAGTTGCGTCCTACACGCTACTAGTCTTAGAATTTGTCCATGCCTCATATTGCTTGTGTGCTCTAAATCAGCACCTGATCTGGACCTCACCTCAATATCTCATAAGTCTAGACTGACATTAATTTTGACCCTAGCAACAAGTTATTTTAATAGAATATGAATGAAACATTGTAACTGGATATGGGTGTTTATATTTGAATTTCTGTTCTCATGAAAATTGTGACAGTGGTTAAGGCTCCTCCCTACTTTCTGTCTATGTTGTGATTCCAGGCTGTGGCAAAGGAGCAAGTTCAAATTTAAGAGTGGAAGAAATCGTGATCCACCTTGTAAAGACGTATGATTTTTTATTAAAAATAGTCTTTAAAAAAAAAGTTTTTTTTGAAAATCCTGAAGACACTGCTGTCAATTCTTTTTACACCATGAAATCAATCTTTGATGGAACGTTTACCCATAAATACCAAGCATAGAATTCACTACTAGTTGAGCCAGCTAGGGTTCCCAGTGACGTACATGTTTGCGGTTATGGTAGAAGTGATGTACTGAGGAAGCTTGAGCGAGGGAGTAGTGCCTTAGGAAGGTCGGTGACCTGTAACGCATAGCCTAAAATATCAACACGTGGTTTGCGTGTTAGACAGGCATGAACAACCATGGTGTCAAGTTCATACCCATACATACCTGTATAGTGGAACCCACATAATCACTACCCGGCCAATAAGTGGGACTATTGCCAATTTTGGGACAAATCCAACAGAAATATTTTCTTCTGGAAAAGAGACTGGATCTTCCAGGAAAGCCTTGCAAAGCAGAAGTCATTTTCTCATGTACTATTGTTAAAAAGAAATGTTTGGCTTAATGGTATTGTTAGATCAACAGCCTTTGATATTTTCTTATATCAATGAGGCAAGAGTATTTTACTAAATTTTGTATATGTTTTCAAGCTCTGTCAGGTATAAATATTGTGATTATATCACGACTAGGCTTGTAATTTGTAACGTTTTTACCTTAGATGAATTGATGGTGATATATGAGAAGGCAGGGTCATCTTTCCAAGGAACTCAAATAATCACTTTAGTCTGGTGAAATAGCTATTGCACCCCTATCCTTTCCCCCCCCCCCTCTCTTTCCCTCTTTCCCTCTTGCTTTGTATTTCTATACCTTGATGTCTCTCCTTCATCTTTTTCTCTTTCTTTTCTTTACCCCTTCCCCTTCCCCTCCCATCCTCCTCCCATCCTCCTCTTGCCACATTGTCTATTTTACAATGCAGTATAATTTTACCCTCTTCTCTCATAATCTGCTTGTGATTACGTTCCTCTCAAAATGATGTCTGAACCCTCAATCTGGACCTCAAATGTCTCTGCCTGTGATATTTTACTACTCCAATAACTGTCAGCAATATAAATGAAATCATCTCTGTGGTTCATTTACCCCCATGTCAATGACCCATGTATACCTCGTCCCTATAATTACCTCCACGTTCTTAACAAGGAACAGAGCAAAGATAGTCAGAAGTTGGGCCTGTCATCCCATATGGCTGCGGAAGTATCTTTGTCTCACAGGACTAATTAAGTCAGTCTTTCTGGTTTAATGCAGCATTCACACTCGATCCAAGATCCTAGTTCTGCTTGCGAGGTCGGCTTTGAAGGCAGGGACTAAATTTGTCCTATATGTTTGTGTCTGTACAGGATGAACCCAAGTGACTGGGCAACATGCAGTCAAATCCATCTTCTGGCCTTTGAAAGAGCACTACATGACTTTTTTATTGAAGCTTTGATTGCATGGTCTTCAAGCTTATTTAGTTGAGAGCAGTTTGCATAAACCAATCGAAATTGAAAGGCTACACATAAATTAGAGTTTGGCCCTGGATCTCTTGATGGATCATCTATCACCCTGTGGTTCAGTCAGTGTTCAAAGTACACTGAAGAATAAGGAGATTTCTTTGAGGAGTTACCATATACATGAAGCCCTCCAAATATACTCGCCTCATATATCATCATCTTCATGAAGTGCGAGGTCTTAAAAGCTGGTATTGCTAATTTCATTTTTCGTTGCCCATTTGTTCAGGCTTTGCTAATAAGTGAGGCATTGTGTTCCCCTGCTTCTCTTTCCAGCAATCTTCCCTGTTATTATTTTTTTCTAGATGATCCTTTCTGTATATTATGTGACCAACAAATTGCATTTGCTGCTTTCTTGTTGTGTTGAAGACTGATCATTTTACTCTTGCTTTTCTGAACTTTTCTTCATTTGTTGTCTTTTCTGTCCATGATGTATTCACAATTGTTCTCAAGCGCTATATGTAAAGGAAAATTGCTTCTTTAGAATTGAACAGAGCTGTTATTAGAGGAAATAATTTGTTTGAGGGTTCTGTCCAGTGTGAACATGGTTCGGAACCATACTCGTCATATTTGGCCTAGATAAGTTGGTTGAGACAATAAAGATTGAGAGGTTTCGTCTAATCAATATGGTGGGAAATCCCCATGCCCCTGAAGATTAATCAAGTCACAGTTTTGACATCCTGAGGTCTTCAGCCCCTCCCTCATCCGCTTTTCTTGACATCTTTATTCACGCATAGAAACTATGGAAAAGGGAGAAGAGAGCCTTTATTAACTACAACTTGTACAAGTGGACCCCCTGCAGTTATAACATGCAGCATACTGTATATGTTCCACAAATCAATTTCCTCTTGCATCTTAAATCTCACAAAAGAATGATCTGTTTGCTTTTAAGAATTATTTATAATGCGAATATTTGTCAAAGATATCTGAAGAGCTTGTCCAGAAGCTATGTCTATGTTTCTTTTTTCTAATCATCTTTGTCTAATATTTATCTCTGCAGATGTGAAAAAAGAGCACTTGGATGGTTTTGGTCACCATCCATTGATGCAGAAGTGTGGCTGGATGATCCTCTAGTTCTATAACCCTACAACCCTTGTTAACGTAGTGGTTGCTTTTCTAAACATCTCTGTCCAATATCTATTTCTGCAGGTGTGAAGAAAAAAGCGCTCAAACGATTTGGTCACCATCAATCGATGCAGAAGTGTGGCTGGATGATCCTCTAAGTCTACAACCCTGGATGGAAACACAGGAGATTGTTGATCTTGGTCCTATTGGGATTCAAGCCAGGTGAGGGATTAGTTTGCTTATTGCAGAGGAGTAATCATGTGTATCTACTTTTTTGTAAGGTTTGAAAAAGAAATGTGAAACACTTTATGCTTACATTGTTTCTTAAAGTTATTATGTTCCTTTTGCAGCCAACATCAAATTCTGTAGAACTTTGTAGGAATTATGAACATGTAATGTATGTCCTATCTGTGAAATTCAAACATTAGCAGTGTCCTAGTATTTAAATTATGCATGGAAACCTGTTTACCTTCTATACTTTACTGTCAGACACTATTAAGTGACTGACTGACATCTTTTTTTTCTTGAGCAGTCTCTCAAAACATGTTGGCAATTGATTCCTCAACCTAATCATCTCTCCTGTCTAGGTTTGGTTGGTATGTCTCTACTGCTCTGGTGACAACCCTCTACAGTGTGGACGGCTTGATCGTTGACCACTGGAGAGTCCTGCAGAACTCACAGATGACCGCCTACCTGACCATCTCCACCAACGAGATCGAGGTGCTGACCACCGAGTCGGCGGCTACGGCCATGTTTAAGGGTCAAAGGTACTGCGACAGGCCGGAATGCACCAACGGTGTCTACTATCCGCCATGGTGCACTCAGAATAACTCACAATGTGTCATCCTATTGGCTGATTATCCAGGTACAGTATGATCACTTATCTAGTACTATTGTGTTCTTTAGATTCTAGTATTCCTTCAACTACCTCCGAGACTGCTACTTCACAGATGATAATCTCCTTGGAAAAATGAAAATCTGTACATGTGGTACAGATTACATTCCATGTAACTAACATCCAGATATATGCCCCTCCCCAGATAATCACAAATATATAATAATCATCACAATGTGTGATGTTCATTTTCCTAGGGGGTAATTATCTAGGTGAAAGTTGTTCAGATAGTATTTAGGAGTTTTGTAGTCAAGAGGTTCCAGAGAGGTTTGGTCAAGGGGTAGGTGTCAAAGCAATATACATGTAGGTACTAGTGGATCATCACTAAGGCAGTAGCAGTGTAGGTGTATTTTATCATTGATGGATAATATTGCCAAGTGGATATGGTAGGGAGGGGGAGGGGTGGTGCAGGATCTGAACTAGGATGTAGATCGAGGATAACATTCAGATTTTATGATGATAAAGAACCCATATTCTGTACATTGTGGAATAAGGAGCTATGTGATTCAATTTTGTGTATGCTTGTAGAGAAAATGGCTTTCAAATAAGAAATATCTTTGACGGCATATTTTGAGGTTTTTAAAAGAGTGATTCTAGTAATAATTTTGCCCATATCTATAGCTATGTAGTCAGGCCTGATTAAAACCCGATTTAAATCGGTTTCCCAATTTTTTTATAATTTTTCCCGATTTTTTTTTTCTTCCCGATTAAAAAAAAAAAAAATAATAATAATAATTAAAAAAAAAAAAATTTAAACCAGATTTTTGTTCTTCTTCCCTCTTTTATCCTGATTTTACTGATTTCCCCGTTTTTTTCTCTAATCTTCCCTATTTTGCCCTATTTTTTTCCCAATTTTCTTACTCGAAAAGGGGAAATTGTTGTTAGATGCCATTTTTTCCCCGCGAATCCTGTTCTCTTTTTTTTTACTCAAGGGGGGCGTGGTTGAGGGGAAAACAAAAAACCTATTTTTTGTTTAGTCCTCACTATCACCCCTGCTATGTAGTCAACCCTGTTATTTTTTAGTAGCATTATGTGAAACATTAATTGTTATCATTCTCCTTTGTTAATGTGGTATTCCTAAGCAAGCATGTGAGTTTTTATCTTGATTCATTGCTTATATATACATATATATATATATGCTTCTCTTGACTTCCAAAAAATGTCTCACAACTTCTCTGCCTCGTACCACATTTTCAAAATAACCTTCAGTTCTTTGCAGCAGCTTAATTGACATCAGGGATGGATGGAAGAAAAGAAAATCAGGAAGGAATCTATGCAAACAAGAACCAGCTTTGCCTGTAATTCAATATCCTCTATTGGTTCTTTGCTACTTCTTATCCTAAGAAGTTAAAGCACTGACATCAATTACCCTTGTACTAGGAACGCCTGGCTTTATCAATCAATTATGATAAATTACTAAGTAGGTAATATTCTGCAGGCTTAAGTACGTCATGAAACAGGTGCCTGGTAATGGTATAATGATTTCTATGTGCTCAATTTTGCTGAAAAATCACTTAATGTGTAATCTATTCCATTTGTCAACGTGCCAAAAAGGGGTCGAAATCCAATTATTGCAATATGATGAAAGTAAATTTAGACTTTGCTCTTAAATGTTAGCAAGATTGCGTGCTAGCAAAATTTCACTATCATTTCACCATAATTAATGTATACTTTGTTATAGAATATTTGTTTCTTTGAAATATAATAGCGACCCACATTTAATTATTAAGATGTTCATTCAGCACTGACTGCTTGATATATATTGGATATATAGGATATAAAGTTAAGAATCATGTATGTTATATCCAAAGTCTTTATAATTCAAAAAGTGATTTCCCTGTAAGGGAAAAAAGGTAGTATTGATCAGTTGAAGATAAACCTCTATCTATCTTACCCAATATCAGCATGATTACTTAATAAAACGGATATCTGTTGTAATTCAACAAGAAGTACCTTCCCTTTCATTCAGTACCTATCAGTTGAAGTTATACCTCTATCTATCTTACCCCAAATCAGCAGTGATTACTTGATATAACGGATATTCAATTGTAATTCAACAAGAAGTGCCTTCCCTATATTTTATGGTATGTAGTACTGATTATTTGAAGATATACCTCTATATATCTACCCCAAATCAGTAGTGAGTGAGAGGGCCAGTTCACTCAGCATTGTTGTTGATGATGGGAGGTTGAGAGAGAAAAGGGAAAATCAAATTAGGAAAGGAGGAAGCAATCGTAGAGTGTGGAAGGAACCACAGCAAGCCTGCTGCTTCCACCCAATCTGACATAGTTGCGTTAAAAAAGGGAGAAAAAGTATGTCTCTCTCTCTCTCCCTCCCTCTCTCTCTCTCTCTCTCTCTCTCTCGGAGAACATAGTTCAAACTTTAGCTTGATGTATGTGAAAGTGCTCTGCTATTTTAAGTCTCCTTGCGTTCATGCCTATTATGTTTAATTGTATTAACCAAAATGTTAGTCATCTTTGGCAGTTTGGTTTAAAACATTGGACCTCTAATCCAGTCAAATTGCTGGGAATATTGGTGAATCGATGTTTGTTTTATTGCCGATGGTTAGATTTATAAAGTGGGATTAATTATGGGAAGTATCTGACATTTTTGCTTGGGGCTAAACTATAAAAGGAAATTTAATCAGGAGTAAAGGAAAGTATTATATGGAAAAGGGGTCAGTCAATACAAGCAGGAAATTTCCTAAAAGAAGAAAAATTGAAAGGGAAAAAAAGTCAGAAGAGAGAGAAGAGCAAAGATTTGTTAACAAACTTATCTAGAATACTTTATACATTATACTTATTTCATTTGTATTGATAGACGTTGAAAAAAATTGAATTTAGTGAAACAGCTTTAAATAATTTATAAATTCTTTACACCTACATGTTAATATTATAGGTTTAAGGTTTTATTCTGAATCTACATTGATTCAAACTGTTTATCCATTCACTTTTATAGGAGCTCCTCCTGCTATATGTATGGTAACTCTTACAAGGTCCACTACTCAAAGGCCCTTGTCTGCTGACTTGGTCTCACATACAGGTTACGTCTTTCAAGATCCTTGGCTTTACTTACTGAGCAAAATGGATCTTGAAAGAGTATGGGTAGGCAAGGGCCAGAACTAATCAAACCTTGTCAGGTGTGTGAAATTAATTAACATTATAGTTATAAAAGTTAGAGGCCATTACTGTAACCTAGTTGCTGTTCTTATTCATGTCCCAATAGAATCCAACTTTGACAAGCTGACCGACCAGATCCAGAGCCTAGGCCTGATGGTGGGCGTGGCCTGGATTGGTCCAAACCTCAAGTCTACGGTCCAGCAGAGACAAGAGAAGAACCAGCCCACCCTGTTCTTCGGCTGGACTCCTGATGACCTGACGTCATCGGGTGCATTCAGCCGTGTCGCCTTCCCGTCATGCCAAGAAAATGCGGCAGGTAAGAAAATAAGACACTTCTTGTTTTATACACTGATGAACTTCTATTATACTAGAGCCATATCTAATCCCTTTGTTAGTGATTGTGCTCATATATTTCTGGAAATACAGTTAACAACTAAGTTATTCATACCCTTACAAAGTTACATAAATTTTCAAACTATATTAAAAATTTAATTGTCCTGATTATGTTTCTTGATAATGTGCCATATTAAAGCTAACTGTACATCTTAAAGTAATCAACAAAGGCCCTAATTCAACCAGTCCACCTTTCATTCTTGAGTTAGGAAAAACACTAAAATATTTACAAGAGGTATAAATAATTTAGTTGTTACCTGTACATGTATGAAACTTTTGATAAGTTAGAACTTTAATCATGACATACACTTGGGTTAGAGATGATTCTCTAAAAGGTCAGTTGCCCCAAAGCTGATTATAGGTTAAGTATTATACTCATCATCAATTAGAAGTATACCAATATATGTATTGTAATACTTGATACATTTGTTCATTACATGGAGGGAAATATATATGTTTTAAGTATGGTGTAAGGAGATTACATAAATAAAAAGATGAAGGAACTTCAATTTTCATATGTTTATACTTAGAGCTGAAAAAATAAGTCAGTCAACTTTTTTCACACCATTTTAGTCAATTAAAAAAAAAATTCAAACACTAAAAATCCTGAAGTCCCTAAATTTCCAATATTCCAGAAGATAACCCTGCATCACTCAACTGTCTCCATGTAGTACCAGATGTAGACGGTGCCACTGGAGGCTGCGACTTCCCATGGCAGAACGTCAACAAGGTAGCCTGGCGCCCTCTAGTGGTGGGAGCCCCTTACATCTACGATCTTCTGAAGGATGTCACATTCGCCAGCTCCAAGATGGACGGTATCATGTACAGCTATTACTTCAGTCGGCTCAACATGGCAGAGTTTGCCTGTGAGTGGGTGCAGAGAAACAGCGGCACATGGGAGCCATGGATACCAAGTGGTAAGTCTATCCCTGTGCCCATCTCAAGACCTTTGTGTAGACAACTTCCTTTCAGATCGATGATTGCCCACCAAAATAAATTGGATCTAAATCTTCAACATAATTAAATCTCTAAGACTAACCCCTCCCCCTCCCTCACATGAAGACTTTCAATTAGCCCCAAGGAAAAGTACCCTTAGACAAAGGAGTATGTATATACTTTAAACTCGGTTATTACTATAAGGTCTAGATTTCGGAATGGGGAGTAATTGTCTTTGGTTGTAGTTTTCCAAGAGCAGGAAGGAATAATTCTCCTCAGAGGGTAAATTGTTAAACAGATGATTGCTCAAAGAAATAATTGGACAGGAATTATTGTCTGGGGATATTTAGCTTGTAGTTGTCCGGTTTTGGATAGCTGTCCTAAAATCCTAAGTTCATAATTTATAGTTGTTTCAATTCATAATAATGATTCACCCGGTGTAATAATAAAAGTGTTATAACTGATTTATAAATCAACATTGTAGACAATATTCATCCTCTCTATGAATTCTCTTTAAAACAGGATCGGCAGGAATCAAGAGAACTATTCTCCTAGGTGGGCTGTTTGAGACCCTCATCGACCCCACCTCACCAAACTCCGGTATCGAACCAGGAGCAAGGATGGCTATCGATGCAGTCAATGCTGATCTTAACATCCTTCCAAACTACAAGCTCACCTTGGCTTCCATGGAAACGGGATGCAGTCCAGAGACATCCCTCCTCTCTTACTTCAAGTTTTATGAAGATCGTGGCCAATCACTTGCAGGTAATTTTCCATTCCATTCAGGGTTTGTATGGTACTTTTGTGTTAGTGCAGTTTCAAAGACTGGTTTCCATGGAAATGAGATGCAGTCCAGAGGCATCCCTCCTCTCTTACTTCAAGTTTTATGAAGATCGGGGCCAATCACTTGCAGGTAATTTGTCCATTCTATTCAAGGTTTGTATGGCGCTTTTGTGTAATTAAAAGACTGGTTTCCATGGAAACGAGATGCAGTCCAGAGACATCTCTCCTCTCTTACTTCAAGTTTTATGAAGATCGTGGCCAATCACTTGCAGGTAATTTTTTCCATTCCATTCAAGGTTTGTATGGTACTTTCGTGTTAGTGTAGTTTCAAAGACTGGTTTCAATGGAAACGAGATGCAGTCTAGAGACATCTCTCCTCTGTTACCTAAAATTGTATGAAGATCGTGGCCAATCACTTGCAGGTAATTGCCCATTTCATTGCATAGTACTCTGTTTCAATATGATTTCAAGGACTGGATCTAATGGAAACAGAATACATTTCAGAAGGCCCTCCACTATATTATTCACAGATTAATGAAGATCATGGCCTATCATGTACAGGCAACAGTTTAATGAAGGAAAGGTGAATCTGCTATACTATCTGTCCAATGTGCCCTGCAATTACTGTTTCCATGGAAACAAGATGTAGTACAAAGAATCTCTACTTTTGTACTTCAAATTTTTTATGATTGTGGTTACTTGCAGGTAAGTTTTTAGGACAGGACAGGTCTTTAAAGGAGTATTGCTACAATGTGTTCTTCAAAGACTGATTCCTGTGGAAATGGCTTGCAGTCCCTTGACTTGTATTTCTAGGCTTATGAAGATTGAGGCAAATCTCCTGCAGGTTATTGTCCAGAATTTATCTTCATGAACCCAGGTCGGGATTTTATAAACATCAAGCTCTTCATTATGTTAACATATTATTTGTCATTTTATTGTGGTAGGTTTGGTTGGGCCCATGTGTTCCTCAGAAGCGGAGGTCGTTGGTAGTGTCTCCCGGTTCCTCAACACGGTCGTAGTGAGCTACCAGTCTGACTCACCAAGCCTCTCCAACAAAGACCAGTACCCATACTACTTCAGGACCTTCCCTGATACCACAGAACAATGGTGAGCTTTGTAACGATACAATCACAACTTGATGATTCGGTTTGATTTTTATTAATTTGCATTTATTTTCACAGGATGGGCCCAGCATTAAATGGAATATTCTTCTTTTTGATTATTGGTATGTTGTTGAAGAAGATATATATATGTAGAGGTAGAAATGTAGTTTGCAGGCTCAGACTTATTTTGACACGGAAACACAATTTCATAAAGCCTAGGGATTAGCCTAACTTTGTCAGATTTCTGGCTGTGTAGTACAGGGCCTGAACCATGTAGTCTAAATAGTCTTAAGAATTCAGATACTCTGCTACATGTTACAACTGAAAATGCTTTGTGCTTGCAAAGTAGTCGAAATTGTCAGGCTTAAGGTGTATCACGTATTGGAATGAATTAGGAGACTGTTAAAATTCTATGAATCCGATGCTCAAGATTTCCAACTTTGTCTTTTGGGGGATGAGAATACATTTTCTTTGCTGGATATAGAATGTGATGATTTCAACAGTAATTCTATGCAGATTTCAAGATATTTTTAACCTTTCATCGTGGTATAAAAGGCTCAGGAATGCATTTGAATAATTGGAAACTGCTCTCCTGCAATATCTTTGAACTCTTCACTGTCTTTTGGGGGAAGAGATGACAATACAGTGAACATTTTCTCTACTGGGTACAAAATATGATTGTGAGATAAACTCTCTACTAATTTCAAGATATTTTTTGACAACACATCATAAGGATTAAGAGCTCACAAGAATTAGCTTTAAAAAAACATGAAGTATCCAGTTGTATATTTAGCTAATGACACAATCAATTGCTGTGTATAGAAACAGGCAATGAAGATTTTGGAACAACTGAATTGTACTTCCATCCTAACACTTGATACCACCATCTCTTCAAAACTCCTCTTTTTTGGAGAAGGGATGACAATGCATTTTGTCTTCTGGGTATGAAATTTGATGAAGATTAATTCTCTACTGATTTCAAGTTATTTCTGACATACCATCATGGAAGCAAAAGTTCATTATCTTTATTTTGTTCCAGGATATTTTTTATGGATATCCTGTCATGGGACACTGGTGTTAAATTTTGCTGAGTGAAATGACGATATTCATTTCCGGCTTCTCTAAATAAGTAAGAAGAGTCATCGGAGCTTGAAGTGGAAGTATGAAAGTAGAACTAGCCATGTAAATCTTCTTCTTTTTTTTTAATGACAAAAAAGTTGTAATTCCCCAAGTTCATTCCCCAAGTATTGAAAAATCTTATTTCAACCTTGTGAATTTCTAGATTTTTTTTTGCACCTTTAACATGTTCTTGAAGTGATTTATACGAAGAATTTGGTTGCAAACTAAAAAATAATATATGAGGAAGCTTTGATCAATGATGGTTTGACCTGACTGCTAAGAAAGCATGTATATGCTTAAAGTAAACAGGCTTTAAGCCCTCTCTGAGTGATTTGGTAATGAGGATTAATGCCTTACCTAAAGGCACAAGCGCATTGACTAGGTTTTGAACTTGGGACCTTCAGGTTAGGAGACCACTGCTCTACCACTGAGCCATCCCGCCTCCTCGGAGGTATACATTGTGCTCACATTCCTTACTCTACTGATAGCAAACATTTATACAACACCTACGTGGATCCTTGTCATTTGATTGGACGATTGTTGGTCACATGATATTCAATAGATGGTATATTGCACGGTCGTGCATTTTTGGTTATATGCGCCGTGCATTTTTGGTTATATGCAGACTGCGTACCTCTCTGCTGCATGTGCGCGTATCCCTGCGTGTATCTGACGCAAAGGCATGTAATCGAGAAGGCTTGACTCGAACTTTAATTTATCTTTATAAGGAGTAAAGCATAATTTGTTGATTAACGTTCTATTAGGTCTTCTTCGATGTTGTATAAAACAAATAATGAATGTTTTCATTCGTTTAATAGTGCAAATATGTTCATTCGTTGAAAGATTAACGTTAATTCTATTCAACTCGGCTGACGCCTCGTTGAATAGAATGTTAATCTTTGAACTCATGAACATATTCGCACTATTGAACTCACAACCATTCATTATTTGTATAATATTGTACAGTCATTGATTAGGACACGCTCTTCTAGAGGAATCCCAGATCAGAAGCAGGAGGCTGCCCCAGACTCTCAAACAGCTTCCCTCTGGTACAGAAAACTTTCATCGGTTGGGGATAATTATAAAATGTATTTTTTTAAAGTTTCTACCAACCTTGAATTTTGTTGCGCAAGCTTTTGTCCACTCCTATGGACTTTTCCAAGCTAAGTGATCAGTTATACGTTTTCCTAGCGCCGCCTGGTTTCTTGCGATCGCTGGACCAAAGTTTCTCTCTGGTTCATAGTAAACCAATTAGGCAACATCAGAGATATTTCAGTCTCTACAAATATATTTCCATCAAACACATTTCAGCAGTTTGTACTATCACTTGTATGATCTCTATCAGGGTGTACGGTCTATAAATGTAGCATTGGGTTATGAAGTGGTTGTACCACATCAGCCCCTCACGGTCTTGTGGTAAGAGGTGAAAATGTTACAGACGCAATAATGCGTAACAAGAGTAGGTCAGACTGGATTGTAAGTAGGTTGTGTGAACAGATATGGCTCGATTCTTCACATACAGAGTCAGCGTGAAAGCAAGAGGAATGGGGAGGGGGAGGGAGAAGAAGCTAGAGAGGGGGCACTTGGTGGTACGTTTGAACAAAGGAAGACAGGGGAGTTCGGTGCGTCCTTGATAACTCTTGGATCAGTGTCAATAGAGGGAGTCCTAAGAGAATAGACGTCATGGTACGATGATTGGCTGGATTAGATGATGTCATTATGAGGGTGATAACAGATCTCACAGGGCAAAGATCTTAAATCCTTTCTCTTTCCATACAAAACCAGTCAAGAACCATTAAAAAAGAAGAGAGATATGTCTCGTTTCGGCATCTGAGGTTAATCTAGCGAGTTTAGTCTGCTGAGAGCCAGAAGGGCATTAACTCATATCCTTCAACTCAGAATTAGCGTCCCTCTGGCGCTCAACGAAAGGTTTCGTCCTCGTTGTGAGTTATTGTTCTTTAACGAATTTGATTGCGAGTTACCGAAAGGAGCCCCATAACAATAGGTGGTTTCCATTTATCAATTTGAAGCAATAATTCATGTTGATGTGACATTAGGGTTCATGATATGACAACCTCTCCCACAAGACATTTATTACCTTTTTACAGATGCATTGTTGTTTTCATTTCATACTAAATGGTTTCGTACAGACTCTTCCTAAGAAGAAAGATAGACTATCAGATTGATCAGGAGTTTCTGTTTAAGTGATATTAGTTGTTAATCCCTGCAGAGGTATATATGACAGAAATGGTCTTTAGGGAGGGGGAGGGGGAGGGGGGTTGGTACGCGATGATAAAAAGCATGAATACATTAGACTACATGAAATCATTATGAACCGCTTATTGTGGATCTCTTTTGTTATCTTGTGTTTTGTTTTTCAATTGTTGCAGCTTTCATACTATTCTGAACTTTGTATATGTATGCATGCTACTCCCATGCCTACATATGTTGGAAGAGAACCTACCGCATAGTTTAATGCTCGATTAAGCTAGGATATAAGTTATTACATAAATATTTTCAAAATATCTTGTGCAATCCTGTTTTTGATTTTTTGCCAATTTTCTGAACCAATCAGCAAATTTGACATGTCAGCGAATGAGCCAATTGATGGACATTACACACCGGGGTAGGAAGGCCAACACATACTGTCATCTTGATGTGAAAGAAAACCCTACACCGGAAGAGGATAAAAACTGCATGATTAAGCAATAACTCAGTCCTTTTAACAAAGATTAGAATGTTAAAGGTGGCAAAAATATGTATAGATCTTTATAATATGGAATTAGAAAGCCCTCCTTTGGAAGAGGATAAATCAAATTACCCTATTGACAACTGAATTCTTTCATTTCCATAGGCTTTATACAGAGACCATACAGTTCATGTAGGCAATGGATTAATTAACATCTCCTAGTTCTCTCAAAGATTTGAAAGATTTAAAGCAAACAAATGTTGTTGCATGTACATGTATCTTAATAAGTTGGGAGAGGATCCATTGGAAGAGGATAAACTGATCTAGCAACACCTCTGAGTTGTTTACGCTTGAGTAAAGACACCCGACAGGTAGCAGCAGTCTAAATAAAGTCTCGTCATTTCACGGTCTCCTGACTGTGTTGTGTGCTAGAGGATCCTCTTGTTGCACCCCCAGGCCCAGCTAGGCCTGGCTGAAACTCTATCGTACCCTCCTTCCTCTGCTGGTAACGGGAAGTGACTCTTTCCCATCTCCCCTCTCTGAGTCCTGGTACCAGAGCAAAGTCAGCAAAGTCCATTTTGAAAACACGCCATTACCTCATGAGAGGGAAATCGGGCTGTGTTCTTTATTCCGTTTAACCCTTTTGAGTCTTAAAGAATGAAATTTTATGTTTGCAATTAAGAGGGTCAATTCTTTGTTTGTTTTGTGTCACAGTGGAAGTAGGCATGAAATATTATCAATTTTACCACTAGCATTCCATTGTTAAAATTGAGCATATACATGTACCATCTCCTTAAAAAAAACATTATCATAAACTAATGATGGCACTTGGATTGTTGAAAATTGGAGACTTACATGTATGGTAAAATGTTGAAGGTTTGGTGAATCTTAAAGGTTTTTTTTTGTCGAAAGGATGTTTTAAAAAAAACCTCTTAGAAGAATACAAGAAGTGTAGTAGTGAAGAAAAGAAAGAGAAATAATAATAAGATGGAATTACAACACTTAATTGACACCGGATAATTTTTAATTGAGAGTTTTAATGATTGAAAATGCCATTATGGCATCAATGTCCTGTGACATGACATTGATCTAGGTTTGCAACCCTCTTGACTTAGGTGTGAATGCTTTACATGTATTCCATTTTGACATACCTCATTTAGAACAATCATGTCAACGGTCATGCAGACAACCCCTCCCCCCCCCTCCCCTTGTTGCCACACAACATTCTTTAGTGTGTTTCTGTCTTTTATTGTCTGTTTGTTTTTAAAACACTAGTCATTGAAGATGCAGGAATCAGTATTTCTTTGGGGCATGCCGCAAATGTCCAAGCATTGGTTGTGATTTTTGTAATTTACGTATCAATGCTGTCAAATTAATGTTTTAGTTTTTTATGTTGTGTTTCCTGGAAATGAAATGAATAAATGAAATGAAACAGAATATTACAACATCGTTTGTACAAAAGCCAGATCATACCTGAGCACTGGGAGTTACTAGATGAGGAACATTTGGGCTTTACAAGAACTCACTTTTATCATCATTTGTGGTTTTAATGTTTTATATTTAGCCAGAAAAAGAGTGGAATGAAAATTTGAAAATTTGAAAAAAGTACAAATATAATATAAGTGGCTATATTAGAACTCACTTTTATCATTATTTGTGGTTTTAATGTTTTATATTTAGCCAGAAAAGATTTGAAATGAACATTTGAAAAAAGTACAAATATAAAATAAGTGGCTATATTAGAACTCACTTTTATCATCATTTGTGGTTTTAATGTTTTATATTTAGCCAGAAAAGATTTGAAATGAACATTTGAAAAAAGTACAAATATAAAATAAGTGGTGATTGAAAGAAATTGTGAGTAATTCACAGGAGATTTCTCAATAGTACTTGTAAAAACACTAGACATTCCTCTGTGGAGTACGTTGTCCTTTAAAGAAGTTTCGAATCGTGGTTTCTTTTGATGAAAGGGGGAGTATAATTGGTCTAGACAAAGATTGTGGGTAGTTTTGTCATGTGTATCATCGGAATATTCCTTGAGATGGACTGAATATGTTTATTACCGGGAGAATATGACTTATTAAAGCCTTCGGTACAAGTTGTATTTAGGTAGTTCTATAGGGGTTTAACTACTACTGAAGCTTAAATGTTTCTTTTTGTATATTTACTCTTCAGTCATGTGCTTCGGTAGCATATATCCATTTCCTTATCAAAACCTATTGCCTCTATATTGGTTATCTCTTGATAATTGTTTGCAACAATTTTCACTAGTTATTGAAAATGGGTCAATCAAAAATATCTTTCCTTAATCTGAGTGTTCTTAGATCATGTGATGTTTCCTAATTTTCTCATGAATTCCTGTTTTCCAATCCTTTGGGATGATATTCACATGCCTCAGTATTTTAATGATAATATAGTCGACTGTAAATTTGTTTGAATAGTATTTGACGACAATGAGGAAGATTAGATTATAATAGTAAAAATATTAGTTTTCATTCGTCAAATTTGTTTGTTTTTTAAATGAGAAGCAACATATATATATTCATTCATAGTTTCCTAAATAAAAATTAGAAATATTCCCAAAACATTGAATATATAAGCTAATAGTTTTTCACTTTAATTATTTTGTATTTTGAGATTTGATGCGGTACTCATCAAGAAATTGGTATGAGTAAACTTTGATGATTTTTCAAAATGTTGTTTGGGATGTGTAAATGGGTCAATTTTTAATATTTACACTGATAGCTCTTTTGTCCTCGGCCTTGTGTACCGGTACATATAGAAATATACAGCTATTCTGTATTCCATTTAGAAATTATCCTTTCTCTCTTTTAATATTTTTGTAACTTTGGTCGGGATGGATGGATATTTTCCTTTCAGTGTGCTTTTATTTTCAGCTTCTAGTGTAGAAACTGTATGTTCACTTGTCCATACACTATCTACCTCCTATTCTCTCAGTCACATGTTCTTCTTTCAGTTTTCTTGAGGTAATTAAGGGAGGCATCTCTTCCATCTAATGTGCTTTCTCTCTCGCCTGCTATTGAGATTCACCTTTCCATGCACTCTCTATCTCTCATTATTTCTCTCATTCTCTCATTCAAGTGTTCTTCTCTCAGTTTTCTTGATGTAATTAAGGTAATCCATCTAATGTGCTCTCTCTCTCTAGCCTGTTATCAAGATTCACCTTTCCTTCCACTCTCCCTGTCTCTCTCCTTATCTCTTGTTCTCTCCCATCGTGTCTCTCTCTCTCCCTCCCACATCCCCTTTACCAGGTCCACCAATGGTCCTGTGGGACTGAAATCCCATACCCGTTTGGCATAGATAATAAGTGGGTTAACGTGATGAAATTTGTTTTCTTCTCTTGTGCGGTTTCATGCAGATTTGATCTGTTTGTCTTTTGAATCACCGCAGATCTATGTCACTGTACTTACCTAGTTTGCATTTTTAAACACCTTTCAGTCATCATTTAATGCCTCATTGCAATTTTTAAAACCAGACCTACCATTCATGAATATCTTAATGTCAGTATAGTGTCAGGGGCATAAAGTTGCTTCAATTAGCCTTCGAGCCATTTTTCTATTTTAAACAGCCACAGTTCCTCATGTTCCTTGTCCTGGTTGCTAATTGCTTCATCAAACTAAGTCTGAAGTTACAGACTAATGTTTAGAATGTCCTGTCAGTTGTTAACTGAAGAAGTTTCGGTACTCTATTGTTATACCTGCTGTTTGAAAATAAAGAATCAAGAGATACAATATCAGAAATCATCATCATCATCCGTCAGTGGTAGCCGGATATTGATAAATCTCTCTATAAACAAATGATGGCTTGAAAAAAAGAGGGCTATTTAAAGTTCCAGTCATCATGCTTTATTAAAGTCCAAAGAAAAGTGAATAATGAAAAGCCAATCTTTCACTGGAGATGAAAGTATGTCATTCTAATTACTACAGATTTGGTCTTTATGTTTGTTTCCAGGGTGTAAAATAGATGACAAATTCAAGTTGTTACTTCTCAGATTTCTTTGATGAATAATTAGATGCCAATAAATCATTGAATAAACAATGAACCACATGTACATATAAATAAGTGTTTATTTTTGTCTTTGACACACACTTGATCGTGTTCTATATTTCCTTTTAATGCTTATTATGGATGTAAGCAACTAGGACACGTTTTGTATGGAATTAATGGGCATTTCTGTTGTAGCAACTCAAGCTAATTAGTGTCTTTTTTGTTTATGACATATCACCTGTTATTCAGGGTTTTATTTACCAAGATCCTGCTTGAAAATAACTTTAGCTGTAATATATGCCCATGTTGTATTTCTTTAGTTATTCAATGCCATTTATGTAGCAAAATAATATTCCCAATATCCTTATATTAGTACATACATTATAATCAATGTGACATTTCCCCTCCCACCCCCTCTCTTTTCAAAATAATTCATGATATTTTTTTCTGTTTCTTCCACACTCTCCAGTTATGCCTTGATCGAGCTCTTCCAAAACTTTGGCTGGGGGCGCTATGCATTGCTGTCGGACAGTGAGGACATCACCTACAAGGTCATGAAGAATATGGAGGAGGTGATGATAGAGGGCGGCATTGAGATGGTGGTCGACATCTACATGGCGACCAATGAAGTCAACCAGGCGGCGGTGACCTCGTATCTGGAGGAGATCGTGTCCAAGAAGGCTCACATCATCGTTGGGTATTTCCCGGAGAATGTTGCCAGGCTTGTGCTCTGTGAAGCACATAAGCAGGTGGGTTTCAGTGTAATGGTAATATATTCTAAGACAACCATCCATTATACTACTACCCTCTGAGAGCTACTGATTGGAATATTACCCAGTAGAACTGGTCTTCCTCTCCTCCCCCCCATCATGGACAAGTATCTTTCTAGGAACTACTCCTTAATGTCTACTACCCCTCAGAAGTTGGTAATTGGGGTTATAGAAATCCAAAACAGAATTCTGTATCAATAAATTAGGATTCAATGGGGGGGGGGGGGGATGAAAGTCTAGGGAGTCAGATCGATATGAAGTTTGATATTTCCTTTATTGTTGGTTTGTTTTACGCAATTAACTGCTATTAAAAAATAATATATACATGCATGTAGGTAAGTTACCCGAGGAACAATAGATTAAAGTCCTTTCCAAGGGAACTGGTAATGAGGATAATACAGTCCTTACCAAAGGGCACTAGAACATTGACTTGGTTTTAAACCCGGGACCCTCCTGGTTCGAGGACCAATGCCCTACCACTGAGCCAGTTGGTAACATAACATTTATATGTAAAATATATTCAGCTTTATGTAGAACGAGGTTGTAAAAAAAAAATCCAAAAGGAAGGGAGATATAGAATAGATTATAGGCCTTTAATTAGCCTATAGCATGTTTCAGGTCATATTGGGATGGCTTTTAAGCCTACAGACTTGTTAGTCTTAGCAGAATAAGATGTGAATCAGTATTTATTTAATTTTTGTTGTGATGTGGAAACATAATTTCTGTATTTTCAGGGATTGACAGGAGAGAAAGGCTACCAATGTTTTCTTCCCGAATAGTACCAAGATGCATGGTGGGATATCGCCTCCCACAATAAGAACTCTTCCTCCCACTCCATCTTTTCCACTTTGCCTTCATCCTCCACCATCTACTGTAATGTGATATATAACTTTTACATTTTCAGGGATTGACAGGAGAGAAAGGCTACCAGTGGTTCCTTCCCGAATGGTACCAAGATGCATGGTGGGATACCGACTACCACAACAAGAACTCCCCCTCCTACTCCATCTTCTCCACCTCGCCCTCTTCCTTCAACATCAGCTGTACCACCACCGAGATGATGCAGGCCATTAAGGGCTACATCAGCCTCTCCAGAGCTTACATCGCCAACTGGGATAAACCTGTCCCCGGCCATGAGACAGTGGAAGGATGGATCAATGAGTACAACTCACTCATTGAGAAAGAGGTGAGATTAGATGAAGCTTGGAATTGCATTGAATATTTAATTTGATTACTCATTATTCCTAAGTATCATTCGAGGTGTTCACACTTGTACAAGCATTGCTTTTTAGTGGACCCCTCTGCTTCCAACGTGTATTTTTTCACATTTGTTTTAAATGCTTATAATTGATTTGTAATATTTTGTTGGAAACATGAATAAATTGAAATTGAATTGAATTGATTTAAACATGATAACACTCACATCAACCTCAAAAGACTGCTTTTCAGCTCAGCAAGTCTGTGTTACTAACATAAAACAGATCTTATAGATACCAAATTGAATATAAATACAAAGGAAAAACAACTTTATAAAGATGATGTATCTAAAACAAAGTGATGAGAGTAAGCTAATACACAAAAAGTAATTAATAACATAAACATATGTGATATAAAACAGGAACTTGATATAGAAATGTGCCATTTGCTATTTCTTTTGTAAGAGGCTTAAGCTTGACTTAAGGGTTCTAGATATAGATTTTTGATGCCATGCCCACAAGGCCCAGGCACTTTTTAGTATCAAGCCCTGCATTAGGCATAAGTAGATAATTACCTAATTTATACACCTCATAATATGATTGTGTGCTTTGGAGAAGAATATAAAGATAGAGTTATTGTTCGGTACTTAAAAAGCTGAATATTAATAAATTGGGAATCCTATTTTGTATAAACGGCTGCGAAGAAGTACGCAGTCAAATTTTGTCAGGTTGAAAGACAGTGATGATGGAAAATGTGATGCAACAATAAACAATAGTATATGTTTTGATAGCTGTTGGCCTAGGGTTGATTCACTCAAATCCAACTAAACTAGTACAATACAAGACAGGGACTACATCGTGTTCATGTGTCTAAACCAAAACTGATGAGTCTTAAAACTCTTTATTACGTCACAATCTTTCGTGCGCGCTTACAGTGTAGCTGCTCCTAATGAATATTTATACATATTCTTACATCCTCCCTTTTTTGTAAAAGATGTGGAGTGACATCATTATTTAAAGGATATAACCATATTACTGTCATGGATACACAAAACAAATAATTGTGGTTATTGAAATTTCTGTCTTAGTGCAATCTTTAACTTTAACATATCAAAATCATAGAGCATGGAATATATAGTCGAATGTTGAACTAGAACATGACTTTGGTGTACAAATAAGATTAAATAGCTCGAAATACAATCTTTGCTATGTAGTATATCAGTTGTAACCAGTTTTATGATTAAAATATCAACAAATTAAATGCTTTTTTTTTTCTTCATTTTGTTTTGTTTTTCTAACACAACACTAGAGTACTTATTTACAGCTGTCTATTATACATAATGTAAGCATAACACTTTTCAAACTAACAAACTCAATCTGATCAAACTCTCTTGGGAGTGAAATCTTAGCAAAATAAAACATTATCAGGATATTTTGACTTAAATTCTTGATCATACTAAAATGTTCCGCAAAACTTTGGCTAGACATCTTTGTCAATCAAATAATTTCAACACATATGTATATTAACTTGCATTAGTTTTCAACAAAATCACAGAATCATCTTTTTGCTTCAAACATCTTACTTGTCAACATAGTCACCAAATCTTTGGGGTGGCTTGCTTACTCTACCAGATCTGGTCTTTAGGAAAGACTGAGTGTCATTTTTGTCTACCTGTTCTGTTCGAGTATTTTGTGTTCTCTGAGGTTTGTTTTCTTTCACGTGATTTTGAGTACTTTGAGGGTGTTTAGTCATGACAGTGTTAGATGGTAGATACGCCTCTTTCCTTTCAGTCCCATGAGCACGTGGTTGTGGCTGTGGCTTCTCAGAAATTGTTTTCTGTTGATCTTCTTCAGTGTTTGGTGGGGGTTCTTCAGTTCTCTTGAGGTCGACCCTGTTTCTTCTGAGGAGTAATCCAGAGTCGGTCTCCACCTCGTAGGACCTCTCGTCGAGCCGTCTATTTACCACTGCTCTTTGCCAAACTGTGCTTCCTGATTTGTATGGCTTGAGACGTACGATATCTCCTTCTACTAAGGTCGGCAGATCTTTGGCATGCAAGTTGTAGCGTTCCGACTGCTTACGTTGTAGCATTTTAAGCTTTTTCCTGTCTTCACTGAGAACCTCTGCACCTCTTGGTTTCAGGAGACTGGATGAAGTGGGAAGTAGTGTTCTCGTCCTCCGTCCATGAAGCCTTTGCGCTGGGCTACTGTCAACACCTTGGTTTGGGGTATTTCGGAGTTCTAGCATTGCTAGGTAGGCGTCACCCTTAGACTGTGATGTTTTCTTGAGGAGTCTCTTTGCAGCCTTCACTGCAGCTTCTACCTTCCCATTTGCCTGGCTGTGTCTTGGGGAGATTGTGACGTGATCAAAATGCCATCTTTTAGAGAACTTCGCGAAATCTTCGGATGAGTACTGTGGTCCATTGTCGCTGATTACAGTGCTCGGGATGCCATATCGAGCGAAGTGGCTCTTCAGTTTCCCGATTACTGCCCGACTGCCAAGGTCATACAGTCTGTCGATTTCCCAGAAGTTGGAAAGGTAGTCGACGGTAACGAGGTAGTGTTTCTTGTTAAGTTCGAACAGGTCGGTACCTACTTTCTCCCATGGCCTGTCTGGGATGTCGTGTGGCATGAGGGTTTCCTTCTGGTTCTGCTGCTCGTACATTCTGCAGGCTTCACATGTCTGGATAAACTGCTTGACATCCGCGTTCATCCCAGGCCAATAGATGATTTCTCTGGCCCTTCTAAGGGTCCCTTCAATTCCAAGATGAGAAGTGTGAAGAGTTTCCTTCATTTCCTTGCGGAGGGTTATGGGGATGACTACTCTTTCTCCCCTGAATACTAGTCCATCTTGCACGCTTAGCTCGTCTCGGATATTGAAGTATGACTTAGCCGCTTCGGGTACTTCTGCTTTCTGTTCCGGCCAACCTTTGTGGATGACCTTCTTGACGGTCTGTAGAACCTCATCATTGTTGGTATGAGATTGCAGTTGTTTAACCCTCTCCTCTCCCATACTCAGGGTTTCAACGATGTTCACCTCACCAAATTCAGTGGCTCCTACAGTGGTGGGTAGGTAAGCTCTTGACAGCATGTCAGCCAGATGCATGTCCTGTCCCTTTACCCAGGTGATGTCGATGTCGTAGTGCAACATCCTCATTAACATTCCTTGAAGGCGTCTTGGTGCCTTATGGAGAGGTTTCTTGACGATCGCCTGTAAAGGTTTATGGTCACTCTCGACTATGACCCTTTGTCCAAAGGTATATTGGTGGAATCGTTCGAGAGCGAAACATATGGCAAGTGCCTCTTTCTCGATCTGGGCGTACCTCTGTTCAGTTGCTGTTAGAGCTCTGCTAACGTAGGACAACGGTTGTCCCTTCTGGAGAAGTACTGCTCCGAGCCCTGACTTGCTTGCATCACACTGGATGGTCAGTGGTAGGTCTGGTGAGTAATATGCTAGGACAGGTGCCCTGGTCAAAGATTCCTTCACTCTTGACATTGCCCTCTCGTGTTCCGATGTCCATTCCCAATCGGCATCCTTATGTGTTAGTCGTCTCAACGGCTCAAACATATCGGACAGCATAGGTAGAAACCTTGCGAGGTAGTTGACGCTGCCTTGTAGGCGTTGCACTTCCGTAGGGTCAGAAGGGTTGGGCATCTCTAGAATTGCTTTGACCTTTTCAGGATCTACCTTCAGTCCCTTGTCTGTCACTATGTGTCCTAGAAATGGAATGCTTGTAGCCTTCAGCACAGATTTCTTCTGGTTGAGTTTGATACCTTTATCTCTGCATCTCTGGAGCAGAGCTTCTAGCTTACGATCATGGTCCTTCTCTGCTTGCTCTCTGTTGTCTCCAACACCAAACAGGATAATGTCGTCAGCAACACACTCAATTCCATCAAGGCCATCCAAAGCCTGTTGTAGCTTCTTTTGGAATATTTCCGCTGACGCATTCAGACCAAAGGGTAGTCTTTTCCATCTATATCTCCCGAACGGGGTGTTCATTGTTGTAAGGAAGCTACTCTCATCATCAAGCTCACAGTGGAGGTAGCCTGATCTCAAATCAAACTTGGAAAAGATCTTAGCCTTTGACAGCTCCGGGAGAATGTCTTCCATGACTGGCAATCTGTGTATTTCCCTTTGCAAGGCTTTGTTGAGGGGTCTTGGGTCAATGCAAAACCTCAATTCATTCTTGTCTTTCTTCTCAATAACGACCAGTCTGCTACACCATGGGGTTGGTTCCTCAACCTTTATCAAGATGTCTTGGTCAACCAATTTAGCAAGTCCATCCTTGACTCTCTGCTTCATTGCAACTGGTACTGGTTTGGCGTTACACTGTGTTGGGGTCACTTCTTCCCTGGTCACCAACTTGACCTTGCCAGGTAGTTTTCCAGGAGTTTGCTCGTCAAAGATGTCACTGAAACTCTCTAAGATGTTTTCAGGGCTTACAGCACAGACCTGGTTGAAGTTCTCATAATGTACAGTTATGAATTTCATCTGTTGTGCAGCTGGACCGCTCAGGAGTGGTACTAAGTTCTCCTTAACAACGATGAAGTTGACTCTGTACTTCTTGTTGTTCTTAGTGTTACGCAACACGACCTTAGCCCGACCTTCTGCTTGAAGACGAGAACGGTTGTACATCTTCAGTATGATGTTCTCTTTGACTATGTCTTCTGCACTCGGGACAAGGCTCTTTGAAATAACATTCACACTCGCACCTGAGTCAATCTGGAAGTTAGCTGGCCTGTTCTCAACCAACATCTCCGCAAACAGTCCTTTAGATGGTTTGGTGCCTGTAGCGTACACCTCTATCTCTATGTGGTTCACAGATTCCGTTTCCGACTCTGTCTGGTTCTCTGCTGAATCCTCAGACTCTACGTTATGGATCTCCTTCTTGTACTTTGATCCCTTCTTACAGCATATGGCGAAGTGGTTTTCTTTCCCACATTTCTTGCACATCTTTCCATAGGCGGGGCACTCTTCCTTTTTGCGTCTATGAGTATTTCCGCAGAACTTGCACTTTATGAGATTCTCTCCTGCTGGCTGTCGCCTTGGACTCTTCGTCCACTGCTTTCTTTCATGTGACTTTTCTACCCTGTGGATAGAAGGATCATCTCCAATGACCTGCATTTGGGAGGCAGTGACTTCAGAAGAACGGCAAATGTCTATAGCTGTCTCCAACTTCAAGTCTTTCCTTTGGAGGAGGATTTTCCTTGTTGCAGTATCAGCAATTCCCAACACGATGCGATCTCTGATGAGGCTTTCCCTCAGGCAGTCGCAAAACTTACAGGTTTTAGCGAGCTGTTTCAACTCTGTCACATATGCTTCGATGCTTTCACCTTGTTTCTGGTCCCGCTTGTTGAATATGAATCTCTCATATATCTCATTGGTTTGTCCGATGATGACAGAATTCATCTTCTGGATAATGACATCGACTTTCTTGTCATCTCCATCTCTTTCAAAAGTAATAGCATTGAAGATTTTTAGACCTTCAGGACCTACTGTATGGAGAAATACAGCTCTTTGGTACTCACTGTCCTGTTGCTTTAACTTAGTGATAACCTCATAATTTTCATACATTTGTTTAAACATCTTCCACTCTTCCACCCTATCTTCTTTATGCCTTAGGGGTGGCGGTGGTGCAATATGAAAGGGAAGTTGAGCTTCAGCCATGTTTGTAAATGTGTACAATCCAATCTGTTACATGTAATGTCACTGAACCTGGTTCTGTCCTAGACAAAAAGTACCATGCATGCAGAGTTACTACAACAAATATAATGCATTGGACCAATACTTAAAATCAGCACATAAACAGAAAGAATGCACTTGTATACTATCAATACTGGCAATCAGTATGGTACACACAATGTCCATACAACTCTTGAACCAAGACTATGTAGTTTCACACCAATAGGTCACATTACAGGGATCTACTAAAGTAATGACAAGAACGTCCCTGCCTAGGCCATCTAGAATACTAATGTGTCATGAACTTAGATACCATCAATATTATTGAATACACATGACATTATCATGAGACCTCCTCGTGAACTCTTACAATTCAGATTTTAAGTCTATCTCACTTCTATACATGACTAACTTCTAACAGAAGACAATGGTCAAACTAGCTAGATCTAAATGTAGATCTGTATTACTATTACTAATAATACTAGTCAGAACTCAGATGGGTACCATGGAATCCCCAATTGGTTGAATATATCATACAACTTACAAGTATATAGCTCTCAAACCTATAAAGTACAGAACAAGGGTTAGGCATATTGCTTATCAACAATAATCAAATTCAAAACAATTCCACACTTGACCCTCCTTACATTCAGCTCAGTCTTATAATATTAATAGCTGATTGTTGTCCAGTCCAGTAGGCCTATATAATTATAATTAACTGTTCAATCTCTTCGAAGTATACTGAAGCTATATGTCCTGAATATCAGTTCCAACTCAATCCGAGGTAGATATGGACCTATCGGCGATCGTTAAAGCTTCGTTTCTAGACTAGATCTAGATCTGATATTGATCAATCATCAAGTCCCTTTTCCTTGTGAAGACAACACATCTGGAATAGATTCTGGATACACCTTGTCGTCGTAGTGTAGATCTGGCAGTGATACTGGAGTCCAAAGAAGTCTGCACATCAAGAAAGGCTCACTCAGTGACTGACGTTACAATAGTTGCGCAGTAGTTCCAGTTAATAACACAGTCTCATAATGTAGGTCTAACTTGTTACATGTAGGTCTACAAAGTCAAGTATGCTCCCATCGCGTGAAGTTACTTTTCTGCTTCACTGCTGCAGTGCTGGGCTCACCTGTAGTCTAGTCTCGGAGGGTGCTTACACCATGTCCGTGTCCGCACGAACACACACAAATACACTGTAGATCTAGGTCCTATCTAGACCAGAGTCGATCTAGACTAGCTTGTGATCCAATAACGATAAACTCCAATCAAGAGTTCGATTACACACATCATCGCACGACGACGTCGAAGTGGTTCCAGGTCCACATGCACGCGACACATAAAAGTTCTTTCTCGTGCACCGGAATACGGATTCACAGAAGACACACACATGTAGTACAGAATATACACGACGACGCACTATAGTACATACCGCACCGCACTGCGTTGAAGTCGCCAAACTCAGTTCTCGGTCATCAACAACTCTGTCTCACAAAGCATGTCCAAAATCCGCTATCACTACAGTGATCAGACTCAAGATCATTTCAACGGCAAAAAAAACATCTATCCGCCGCTGCCACCATGTTTTGATAGCTGTTGGCCTAGGGTTGATTCACTCAAATCCAACTAAACTAGTACAATACAAGACAGGGACTACATCGTGTTCATGTGTCTAAACCAAAACTGATGAGTCTTAAAACTCTTTATTACGTCACAATCTTTCGTGCGCGCTTACAGTGTAGCTGCTCCTAATGAATATTTATACATATTCTTACAGTATATGCTTCAGAAAGAACAGAAATGAAGAAGAAAAAGAGATGTATGAGGAAGTTCTGTAAAAAAAAAAGAGAAAAAGAAGCAACAAGATGTGTGTAACAATATTGGAGAAGCATACTTGAGAGAGAGATAAAGTATTGGCAAGTATTCAAGAAAATGATAAAGTCAGGGAATAGCGTGACCAGGGCCCTGTGTCATGAGAAATAAAATTGTTTATTGGACTGAAGAGATAACAATAAATGTTTACAGGAAACACAATGATCAGTTAAAGGGGTACACTCCCCCTTCATATTCAACTTTTAAAAGATCCCATGACTTCATTAATTGCTTTTGGGTTGTCCTCTGAAATAGTAGCTAGGTCATTCATGACACAAATTACAAGATCTGAACAATCTTGACTGTCGAATGAAATAATCTGCATCACTCAGTTAACCAGTTGACTCCTGAATTTTTTCATTGCCATATAGTCTTAAAGGTAACCCAGAGTTTGGTAATATTTTAACAGGATTTGATTATGAAATTTTAAATTTGCATTACCATTGTGAAACCTAGTGTTAGATAAGCAACTTTGAAAAAAATTTGGCTTTAAAACGCTAAGGATTTCAAGAAATTAAAGTATCAAATTTATAGGTGCTCCAAATAAATTTCAAATAGCGCCTACGGCCAAACAATGGTAGCTGCGACCACAAAAATCTCAGAATATGCACTTCTGATATATAATTTCCAAACGGGAATGGAAAATCATTTGATTACCTTTGATACATGGGCCACCTGGTAAAAAGTCCTATCACTGCTTTTTTTCCATATGATTTATGTTGAGAAAACTTGATGAAAATTCTTGGTATTTGTATGAATGTGCATCATTAGTATCTGGCTAATCACTTTCTAACTTGTCTCTGCTCTACTGTCTTTGGTACTGTTTCTATCTTGTAGGGTAAGATGCCGTCTACCTATGCAGCTTATGCCTATGACACAGTCTGGACATATGCCTATGCTCTTGATAAACTCTTATTCAACGATGTAGCAGCACTGGATACACTCTCATCTCAGCAAACCATCAGGTAATTATGCATCTTTTAAAATTCTTTCTATATTTGTAATTATTGCTGCATCACACTTTTAAAAATATTGCATATTAAAATGGCAGTTTTTAAAGTTATTCAGCCTCTGACCATTATAATGTAAAATAACTAATTTTACCATTTGTGTTGTAAACAACAAATTTAAATTATTATTTTTAAATGTATTATTTATTTTAGTATAAGCTTGACCTATGTTACCTGAGGAGTTAAAAATAAAGTATAGTTTAGATACATGTAAGTATTCAGAGTGCCTAGATCTTTCAAGTATGATTTTAAAGAATGGGTAGTAACTGAAGATTGATGCCTTATCATAGAGCTCTTTGTGCATGGACTTGGACTTGAACCACAGACTTGGTGATTGTGAGACCACTGCCTGCTTCAGAGACACACTTTCTTGAAGACATCAGAAATGGTTTGTAAGAATACATTACAATAGCTGGTGTTGGTCTCAAGTACATTGGGGATTGTATCCTTGTTTGAATGGAACCGTCTCAAGAGTTGCCGGCTTAACTTAAATGATGCACACTAATACCGGACATCTTGGGGTTGAACATGATCTTGGTCTCCATTGTATACTCCTGTGGGCGTACATTATCTATAGGGTGCTGATGATCGGATCCTGAGGTTGATTGTTCTCGTCTCACACCTCTCCGACCCCTTCGAACGAAACCAAAGTCTGATCACATCTTTCACTGCTGCCCGGCAACCAAGAGGAAAGGATCTATTATGTAATACGAGACTTCCCCCGCTGCATATGTTTAACCCAATTCTCAGGTTTTTATCTGATAGAGGATGAAGATCGACAGGCCACGACCTTGACTTCTTGTCCTGTATCGCATGATCTTAAACCAAGCTAGACTATGCTATCCATCTCCAAGTCAGATCCTCTAGCTGCAGTTAGACACCCCACCCCCGCCCGTTGCTGTGTGTCTATCATCCCCTCCCCCAGGGGGTCCCAGGGGGGTGTGACTGATGTCGCCAGGTCTCTTTCATCGTGATGTATCAGAAGGCGCTCTCCAATTATCTTCTCTTTGCCTCTATCGGAACTCCTACTCGGCAAGCTCTCCCATTATCTCCCAATTGCCTCTAGACCACAGCAAGGAAAGAATAAAGAAGTTCAAGCATTATTCAAGATGTACTTCGTGAAATGTTGAACTCCAATACACAAGGATTGACATAGAGGCGGGAGAAAAGGGTGTAGTCGTTTATTGATCCTTGTGTGCATATTTCTTTTTCACAGAAAGAAGCCAACTAGGGGAAACCCCAGTTTCAGAACCATCAGACCATCCCCAGGATGAGGATGGGGCTAAAATTATCAATCTGAAATGCACACTGCATAATGATGCACATTCAAATTTATAATTGGGGGAGGGGGTAACTGCTTGCAGCCCCTACCTGTACCTCTACTCATCTCTTTGTTGTATTGGCAGTTTTAAATCTCATAGTCAAGCAAAGGCTAAACTAACTTATATTATTATGTAAAATTCTTATTTTTTTCAATGCCATGCAAATTTTCCATGGTAGAAACTACACTGAAACAAGACCTGAAGGTAAATATGTATCTCTCTAATTAGAAGAAACAAGATATCTGCAGTGAGATGGGAACTGATATGTTAATCTTGTATAACCTCAGTTTGCATTTAGGGTGATTCCAAAATGTGAATCATGATGCTATATTCATCCACAGAGTATTCCTTGGACATGGCATTGTTGTACGTTGTCATGGAAACGATTTAGATGACCTTACCTCATCCGGCTTGGATTAAAGCTGTGGTCATTATGTCCAGGAAGGTGCATATGATTAAGAAAAGCATGATGACGTACTCAACAGAGGGGTGATCAAGATCATCCTGTGGTTCGGAGTTCAGTTATGAAGTCATCACAAAGAAAAATGGTCATTTAAATGTTCAGTCTTCTTCCTCTTCTTTTGTAGATTCATGAATAATCAGGATATAAGTAGTGGAACCTTATGTTCTATAGAATATAGTGTTGAATTGTGCCATTACCAACGAGTTACCACAGCAAGCTCCCTGTGGTAACTCCTTGCGTATACCTGAGTTGCAAATAATAATAATAATAATAATAATAATTTCTTTTAAGCTATAAGTGACATATATGACTCTCATCCTATCTGAAGGACCAGGTTATTAATGATTGATGCATAACTGAAGGGGACTACAAACAATATTTATATATCTTTCAAATAAAAACACAATTTTTCCAAGAACAAAATAACTAATTTATTGATAATGGGGCATATCAAATGATACCATTGATTTTCAAATCAGTTTCATAATGTTTTCATATCCCTTTATTCTTTAGAAGGGTATGGTTGGGATTAAAGAACTAAAGTTAAATGTAGATGATGATTATAATTATAACAATATTAGATATATAAGTGCATGAAAACTAAAATTTACAAAAGGGCCTACAAAATTGGAAAAAAAAGGATGGGAAAAAATGGTGATAAATATCAATGAGATTTAATCACATTGAATAATGGCAAGAATAAGTTTTAAGGGATCTTTTGAAGGTTGCTTGCTTTACAGAATAAAATAGATGAATGTTCTTAAAATCTAACTTTTTTCTGTAGAGTGAGAATCTGATATCTATTGCACCAGATTACATGTACAACTTCCAGAGGTACATACAGGGTAAAACTGTTTTTGCCAGCTGACACATTTGATTCCAATACATTCTCTACTAGATGCATGATTAAGGGTTTTGATTTGAATTTTGTATTAACCTTGAACATACGTGAGAGCTCTGAGCAATTAACCCTGATCTATTCTCTCAGGGAGATTGGTTGCTACGGGCAATGCTCTGTTCGACTGGGGGATATGTTTCATAGGTAGAGAGAATGTCTCCGATGAATTCCCTTCTTGAGGATTGTCCCAAGGTCTTTGAGGTTTTTCTGCATGATTGTAGATTGACGGGAGTTTGTTAGACGGATCAAGCTCGAGGGGAACCAACATCTAGGCTCTGATATGTATGCTTTGTGCTTCATTCAGTCAACAGCGTTGTCGTTCTGAGCGTTCACTTGGGTTTCCTGTGTTTATAAAAGCTGCAGTTGTATCAAAGATCTGCTGTATTCTATCAGTGAGTCATTGGTGTTGCGTCCTAACTTGCCTTTGGTTGCCTAGCTCATAGCAGAGTGGACGTTACATGATATATTCTCTTTCAATGATGAGATGCTGTGTGAATGGTTATAGCCAATGTGCCTTTGTGAAGGAGTAATTTGTACTATTGTATTTCAGAGGTAAGCCTGGGTGATCTGGTCATGAGCTGTCCATATCTTTATCACTTAACTTTAATTTTCATTGTTATCTGTCAGGTCTTGGATGATGAAGATTGAGGGATTGTGTTTTATGTTGGATAAGATCCGTTAAAATCCAAATGCTTGTAATATTTCAATCAGGGGCTTGATCGATCATTTTCTTTAATACAAATTGCACAATTATGTTTATAATTCAGCCTTCATAATATATGTGGTCATATTACTAAACTCTGTTCATCTGGCCTTGTATGACAGAACATACCTGAGGCATCTGAGTAACACATCATTCAGTGGGGTCACCGGAGAGGTCAAGTTCATGGATCAAGATCGCAGAGGACCAATCAGCATCCATCAGCACCACCCTCCTACAACTACGGTAAGATCTCAACTCCTAGATTTTAAAGCACTGCACTACTTATAGCTACTTGCGCCCTTTGTATAGCAAACAATGCTTAAACGGTGCCTGTTGGTCCCCCATGATCCCCTTTTTCTTATGTTAATTGAGAGCTAATTTGATGAGATAACCATGTGTCAGTGACCTTGCAGGGAGGTCTAATCCCCCCTGTCATTATGAGCCATAATGCAGAAGTTGGTCTTCTTGTTGTTTCATTTGTTCTGTTGGGCTTCTTTCATGTGAGAAGTACAGATAGCTGTCCCGAAACATTGGAGGTTATGTACACCATTTTTTTTATTTGTGGCATGATATTAGAATGTATTCACAAGCTCTATGTTAAGAGAAATGGGGGGAATGAAGATCCTGTACTCTTGTTTAACCATTCTTGTAAAGCCCTTGTTTGGTGGCCTTAGATTATGCGATCACTTACTTGATTATGATTGACATTAGCTGTAGCATTGTAGTGATTTTTTTCTAAGGGGAAATGTTAAGGATATGATAGCAAAACTGAATAAAACGTGTCAAGATAATAGAATAGGGAAGGAAATAGATTTACGTTTATTCATTTATTTACCCATGTTATCATTGAAAGAATATGCTGGGAGAAATCCAGTTTTAATCCATTGAAAATGCATGTTAAATAAAAAAAAATACATCCATTTCAAGCAGATTAACAGACTATGGATGACAGCGGTGGGATATATAGGAAAACAGATCTGTGTATTGTAGTTTAGAGACATTGGACTCTTTGAACCTGTAGATTAAACTTGCAAGCCTTCAGTTTTTATTCCATGTCTATTTTTTTTAAAGTACATAGAGCTAACATGATTTGATAGACCTTGTCATTCCAAAGGTCAGTCATGATAAGTTGAAACAGAGAAAAGCTTTAGGGTATAGGAAATTGGAAATGAATGCTAGTTTCCATGTGAGACCAAAATTTTGCCCTTAAAACAGGATTGTCCGGATTAGCTAGGCCTTGTTCAAAACATGATTGTGCAGATTAGTTAAGCCTTGGTTTCAATACGAAAACAGTAAATTTATAAAGCACAAGTGGTAATAGGGTGCACTATCTTCTCGTTGAAGGGAGACGTCTGTGTTGTGAGGAAGACATTCACAATCTTCCACACAACCTTTACCTACCTGTCAAAAATGCAAGTCAGTCACATGAAATCTTAGTTTTAAATGAAGCTCATTTTCATGCGTTTTGAAATTCAAAAACCCTCAAACCATTTATTTGCAAAAATAAAACAATCATAAACCAACAGCTTCTTCTCATGTCATATAGCTTAGCCAGACAATTGAAAAAACTGGCCATGGATTAGAGATGGTTTGGAAAAAGGGGTGGGAGGGTGATGACAATCGCTGAGTCACCTTCCAAGAAGCTAACCTGATGGGTGGGATCCATTCCTGCATGCATTCAGACTAAGGAATTCATTGTATATTTATTCAGTAAGTAATTACTTCTACTTAATTACTTATTTACTTGTTACTAGTCTGAACGTTTTATAAATGCAGCTCATTTTCATGTGTTGTGAAATTCTAAAACCCTTCAACCATTTTTGAAAGTTGCAAAAATAAAACAATCACAAAAGACTACGGAATTCATTGTATATTTATTCAATAAGTATTTACTTTAACTTATTTACTTGTTACTAGTCTGAACGTTTTTTATAAAGAAACATATAAACAAAACGTCATGTAGCAAACGCATGTTTAAGCATTGTTTTGAATGAAAACTCATTGAAGAATCAGTGTCTTGTTTTAGTCTGAACATCGTATCGTATGAAAATCTTATAAATTGATGGGGCTTATCCTGAGTGCGCACTGAGGATTGGATAGTTGTTGTGACCTATTCAAAATTAGTTTCTTTATTTGACGTTTCTTTAAACGACGTTGCTTTCTCGCCTGTCTGCTCCTTTTGCCATACAATGATTCTTTATACAATTTCATTATTACTGTTATTATTTATTTGAGGTTTGCATGAATTTCCTAAAGTCTGAACAGGCTACATGTCTTGGTCAGGTTCAGTTTGGTTCATGGTCAGGACATGTCAGAGATGCAGGGTTACTACTGCACCATGTGAGAATGATCAGGGTGCTTCGTGCTAGGGCTTTAATCTCCAGTGCGGTGATGTCCCAAGTGAATGCAAGGGATTATAGACTGACAGGGACTCTCGGTGGCATATAGGCCTGTTTGATGCATGGAAGCCCTGCCTGGTTTTGATATCTAGGTTCATGTTGGATCTCGAGAGATCAATGTCATTCTGAAGGTGCAGTGGAGTTTGGTGATGCTTGCCATCTCTTTATTGTCCCCACTCCTCAGATCTGACTCTTGAGACCTGAGACAGAGAAGAGATATAGAGGATGAGAGAGATTTTAGGATTAAGAGTTTTATATGTGGTGTTGATACTGAAGTGATTCTTTTATTCATTTTGCATTGAAATAGTAAGAGAGAGAGAGAATAAAGAATGGAATGGCTTTTGTTGTTGATGGCTTGCCAAGCCATCATAAGGCATATCCTATCCTGGATACTAGGAAATTAAGCAGATGCAGAAATGTTGTCAACACATGTCCTCTTTGTACACCAACTAGAGCTAACTCAGCTAAATGAAGTTGAAGGTAAAACATCACCAGAGCCAGAAGGGCATTGACTTAACTCATCTCACTTAAAGCCCCACTGTCCTACTTGCAGCTACTTGCTCCCTCTATATAGAAAACTTCCCAAGTCGGTGCCTGTTGGTCCCCCATGATCCTCTGTTTCTTATGTTAGTTGAGAGCCGAGTTAATGAGATAGCCACCTGTCAGTGACCTCGCTGTGTGGTCTAATCCCTTCTGGCCCAGTAGTAATGACGGTCTTTAAAAGAGATTTATCACATATTCAATGTCCTTCTGGCTCTCAGCAGACAATATGAAATGTTGATGACAATCAGCCTTTTCACACACAGCTAAAATTCTATAAACATGATTAGTATAAACGTGTTTGAAACGTGTTTAAACTAATCACGAGCCTTTCACACACAGAAATTTCGTTGCGATCGTTAATCGTTTCGTGATTAACTACTGCTCGTAAAATGCGCAGTAGTGCCATTGCGCATTGAAGGTCAGGTCATATCAAACACAGCGGTCGCTCCATCCAGTTTAAACATGTTTAAACAAGAAAACCCTTTCACACACAAAATGTCAAGCTCTTTAGATATGAACTTCGTATCGGCAGCCTGCTTTTAGGGGCGTATGCATCGCGACTTCGTATCTATCCGAACATCGTATAAACGATGTTCACACTGGGAAAAATTTTCTATAAACATGTTTAAAACTGTTGAGTGATTCTAATCATCTCTGGAAACGATGAATTTTAGCTGTGTGTGAAAAGGCTGAACGTTGGTTTTTGTTGTGTGAAATAGGGAAATGAACCTGAAATGTTAGAAGAAGAAATATTCTTAGGATCCTGGAGGAAGAAATACAGCCAATGAAGGAACAAGTTAAGATAGAATAAAGGAAGAATGAACAATAAGGCAAGTGGAAAAAGAGAGAGAAATTTAGGGGTATTGAGATAATGAGCGGGACAGAGAGATAATGAGAAAAAAGATACAAAGCAACACATATAGAAACAGTCACAAGATTATAGACGAGAAAGACGGGGATGAAAAATGAGAATTAGAATATGATCTAAAGCAGTTGTGACTGATTTTTTTTAACTTAATGCAGGCTGGGTCCTTGACAAAGGATTTAAAAACTTCCCCTCACAGAAAAAATCCTGCTTTGTTAGTCCACATACATGTGCACCTTTCTTTACCTTATCACTTTCAATTGTCATTTGGAGACGGATCGTTCAAAGTTGAATTCCGAATCCCATGAAGCCGCTGAAGAGGAAACTGAAAGTTCTGTTTATGTTTCTGATTTGGCTCTCATTGTGTGAGCAATCAACAAGGGGACACGAAACATAAACATTACTGAAGAGGCCCGGTAAACCAAGCAGTCTGGCAAACTAAACACCGTCCTATTTTCTAGTCGCGTCCTATTTTCTAGTCATTTTCATTCCTTCTGAAGGAAATGTGTCAGTGAACTACATTTAGATGATTGATATTGGCATATATGTCCAGAGAAAGAAACAAAGAGATTAAATATGTTTATTGTTCGTCAGTTTACATGTGGGTGGTCAAATCTTTTGAAGAGTGTAGTTTGAACTTGGAAGTTGTCATTATTACCTTTGGATATAATCATATTATCACCGGAGATAATTAATCATGTTCTGATAAATGAATGTTGTGGTATATATATGTATATATATTACCTTTACATGACTTACAAAAACTTTATATGAAAAAAATCTATCAGTGTTATGAAAGAAAGATGCAACCCAGTGCACCTTTAACCATTCTGAGGGCTAAGACCTAAACATGTTGATTGTTGAACAAATTGGGCTCTTTGGCCTTCAAACATCTTGGATGTCAAATAAAGGGGAAGATGTATTTTGCTGTAAAATGAACATTCATGATAATTCTACAGAAGTTATGGTTTTCTCTTTCAAAATCCAAACTTACCAAAATACTCTAAAATATGATGTTGATTGGATTCTTTGGAGGAAAAAAAATCATTGTCAAGGATTTTTCAAAGGCTTTTATTGGCTGGGTATCACTGAAACTAACAAAGACAGTTTGTATCGACCAGAATCAAACCCAGTCCCAAATTAGGTTAGAGACCTTCCCCCAAGAGGGTCAGACAACTAAGGAACAGTCAATTTGAAACCTGATCCTCATAAAAGTTGCTTCATTTTCCTATTGTCTGTAAGCCAAGTGGACGTATTAAAAGCTCACCAGCAGATAGGGGACTGACAATGGGAAAAGGAACTTGGCAATCAAAAGTCCCTTTGCACCCTTTGCAAATAAAGTGTACTCTCTGAAGAAGAAAGCGAAGAAAAGGAAGGCAGAATTTGTGTATTTTGATAATTTTGTTATTGCTAATATTTCTTTTTGATGATACAAG